ACACAGGCACATTGTTTTAAGGGTGCTTTAAGCTGTGCCTCTCTGGTGATGGTTTTAAATTAGGCTGCTCTGCTTTGTACTTAAATGGTGCAGGAGCTTTGCAGAGTTCAGCTGAGGGTGACTGAGTCTGGGCAGTTCCTGAAGTGGCCTGTGAATGCATATTTGAACTTTCTCAGATACAAAGAAAACTGCTCTCCTTGCTTTCTACTAATATTTTAGCCAGAGACCAATGCAAAAACTATAAAACCACAAATTGAGTTAATTTTACACTTAAGAAATCCAAGGCCAGAAGGGATCAGTTAATATAATTACTTGTATGTTAAGTCATTTTTGTTTGTAACCAAAGCAACTTGTATTTGCTTCTGGAAATATATTCTGTCTCACTTGACATTAAAAGAAAGGAAATTCATTACTTCTTCTGGTGTCTAATTTCAATCCTTTTCCTTCTCATTTCAGACAATCTGGACCTTCTATCTAGGTCTTGGCATTTAAGGCTCTACTATATTGGATTAAAAGACTTGATTCCATTACTTCCTTAGCTGGTAAGTGAGCTATGTAGAACATCTATGTAATTCCACATAGGTGTATAGCTAATCAAATCACCCTCACTCATCATCTTGTTTAACTAAATTAACTTAAGAGCTCATGCTCTGAGGTGTATTTTCATGTCTGAATGTTTTACGAACCAGCTTGGATTTTTTTTTAACCTCCTTAAAATGCAGTGCAATGAATTTCACTTGCTGAAAACTATAATGAAATGCTAATGTTGTGCAGGGAGCTAAAATCTCCTGGAAGGAGACTGTTTTTCCCTTTTGCTTTTCCTTTAGCTTAGCTCCTGCAGAAGCCTGAGAGGCCCAAAGTGGGCAATTTAGAGACAATATCTATTTAAATAACTGTGGACTTGGGAACTTGCTAGAGGATGCATCTTGGAACCAGGCATCTCACACAGAAAGAAAATAAAATACCTCTTAGGAGGCAGAAAAAGGGTAGGCCTCTGGTTAAGACAGAGAACCCCTGCTTTTTCCACATACTGCCTGCATGACCTTGGAACCATTGTGCTCCTCTGTGGAGCGAGATGATGTTCCCTCCTGTCCTGGATTGAAAGTGTGTATTCCATTGCCATCTGTCAGAGCTGGGGCATTATCTGCTGTTCACTGGGCAGTTTTTTCTTTATCTCTCCCACAGCCAATCCTCCCTCCAGGAGATCTCTGCTGTTCATGGCCACTGAGTGTCCCTGCATGGCTGAGAAAATTCCATCATCCATGGGGAGATGCTCTGCCCAGGGGAGGAGCCAAACATTCCTACCTGGATCCAATCTGACCTGGGAACAGCACAGCAGCCTTTGCCCCCTGCATTCCCAGAGGAGCAGCTTTCTTCCCACTGCATTCCCAGAGGAGCAGCTTTCTTCCCCCTGCATTCCCAGAGGAGCAGCTTTCTCCCCACTGCATTCCCAGAGGAGCAGCTTTCTTCCCCCTGCATTCCCAGAGGAGCAGCTTTCTTCCCCACTGCATTCCCAGAGGAGCCCAGGCCCATCTCCCCCAGCCCTGGAGCTCCAGAGGAAAACTCCCCCCTTGTGCAGGATCGTGCTCCAGCAGAAGCACAGCTGGCACTGCAGGAGGGCTGAGCCACCCTGGGATGGGGCTGCTGCCACCTCCCTGACACACAGGGGGCCAGGGCCTGCTCTGACTCTGGCAGGGTTGTTTTGTATTACTGCACTGTTTATTTTTTTTTTCCTCCCTAAAAAAAACCCTCTTATTCCTATTCCCATATTTTTGCCTGAGCGCCCCTTAATTTCAAAATTATAATAATTCAGAAGGATGGGATTTACATTTTCCACTCAGGGGAGGCTCCTGCCTTCCTTAGCAGACACCTCCAGTCCCATCCATACTGCCTTGTGTGCATCAGGCTCAAGCAAGGATGGCCCAGACCAAGGCCTGGGCACACCTGACAGATGTGCTGCTTGGCCCAGCTGTTTCCATCTCCAGAGAAAGAGCAAGTGCCCTGGACAGAAGTTTGGGTGTGCTGCAGCAGGTGGAAATGGGCTCTGTAAAACCTGTTTGTCTGCAGGGTGGGACTGGAGAGCTGCTGCTGTGAGAGTGTGCAGAGCTGTGCTTGGACATGGGGCCAACTGGGAAATCCTGAAACTGGAGCTGGCAAGAGTGGATGGCCCCTTGGGGATGTGGAGCTGTTATCCTGGAGAGTTTACCATAATGTGGCAAGGCTCTGGGTGCCAGGATTAACCAACACTCATTCCAGCACCTCCCATAGGAATAAATCCTCCTTTTTTTGGTGACATTTCGATACCATTCTGCTAACAGCAGCATCTTGGATGGTAAAAAATGTAAGCTGTGTTACAGACAGGAACCAACTGCCTGCTTAGCAGAGATTTCCTGCATGATGTCCGTGCACTCCCTAGACCTGCTGCTGAGGCCTGGGCTGGTTTTATTCTTCTACCCCTTTAATTGGAATAGAGACTGAAACATTTATTTGGAGAGGGAGACCACAGAGAGCTGCAGGATACTTGTTAGTGGGAGATGAAAGAAGATGCAAGTTGATTGGTGTGATTTAAAAGCTTGATCTTGCCTCCTGGCCAGGGGCTCTGATAAAAGACCTGGGACATGATGCCAAGAGGCTGGAAAGAGGTTTGAACTCCAAGTCCTCCCAGATGACCTGGTCTAACAAGGAGCATTTTTCCCTGTAACAGGTGTGAGTGACTGACATACAAAGAGAGGGGAAAAAGAGCCCTTCTTTCCATTATTCTCCACCTGAATATCAAACAAGAGGGGTCCAGTTAGTGTGCTGCCTCTCTCTCCTTTTACAAGGCAGTGCACTGTCAGATCAGATGGTCTGTTTGTATTACTTTGCAATGGAAAAGAGTAAAGGCAGTTTCTATAAAGAAAGACTTGAAAAGGCTTCCCTGGTTTTTCACCAGAGCTGTTGGAAACTTTCCTTCCCCACACTGCCCCTTCTCCAGTCCCACCCCCAAAATCCTCACCTCTTCCTGCCTTTGTCAGGCAAGTGTCAGATTTGACATATTTGCACTAAGGTACAGAAATGCAAATGGACGCATCCAGCAACACCTAAGCAGAGCACGTCAACTTTCTGTGAACCTAATTTGTGGATTAAAAAAAAAAGGAAAGGCCATATTGCTACCACATTTCTAAAATGCTTTTGACACTACTGAAAAGCTCCTCATAGTACTGCTCTTACCTGGCTTTTTGGGCTTTTCAGCCAGTACAGCACCGATAAGTGCTCAGGGAAAGGGCTGGAATGCCTCTGCTCCTCCCAAGCACTCCAGCTTTGGGAGAGCAGCTGTCCAGGTGCCTCCCAGCCCTGCTGCCTGTTCCTCCCGCAGCCCAGGGAAGGGGCTGTGCCCGGGAAGGCTCCCCTGGCTGTGGGAAGGGCAGCAGCACACGCAGGAATGGGGAAGGCAGCAGGTCCCTGCTTTGGCTCCCATCTCCAAGGCCAGTACAGGGAAGCTGAGCACAACATCTGCAGCGCTGCTGAGCAGGGGTGACTTTGCTTTGAGCTGCCCCCAACCCCTGCTGAACCAAAGGTGGCACTTGTATGGTGACTCTGGGCTGTGTTTCTGCCACCAAAGTGTCAGGATGTGCACTTGCTGTCACAGGAGCATTACAGAGAGCCCTCACACGAGGCTCTTCCATGCCACGGAGATGAAGCCGAGCCCAGCTGCCTCTGGTGCTCCTGCAGCAGTGGAGAGGCTGCCCGGGGCCAGGACCAGCCCTGCATGTCACTGCTGAAGCCACTGAGCTCAGGAGCAGGGCTGTGGCCTCAGGTCCTTCTCAGGGGCCTTTTCCAGCCACTGGACACGAGGGGCTCTGGCTGAGCAGGGACACACCACGCTGAGGGGCTGTGTGTGAACTGCCCTGGAGGGACAGGCAGCTCCGAGCTAAGAGAGAAGAGTGACATGGCAAGTGAAATGCGAGACCTGAGGGAAATTGATACAAATAAACCTGGACTTGGGCTAGAGAGGTGCAGCCTCAGTCCAAGCAGGTGTGTGGGGTGTTAGTTCAGTGCAAGTGTCCCAGGTTTCATTTACACTTCAAACCCCAACCTCCCTCCCTAAAGCAGAAAGGTCACTGCAGAGGTTCTCACCTCCCTTGGCTCAGCTGGTTCTTGTCACTCTCCTACAGGTCAAAGGGAATTTAGCACAACAGGGATGAGAAGGACCAAACATTCTGATGGACACCTTTGAATAACACCCACCTCAGGTAAAGAAATTACAAAGGAAAGTCCTTGCCAGTGCTTCAATTTCTATTTTTGTTTTTCCATGGGGTTATTAACATAGGTACACGTCTAGTCCCTTGGTCACTGCTTCCTTTATTGCTTGCTCTATGTTTGAGAACTTCCATGTATTAAGATCCTTTACAATCCCTTTTTTCCCCTCTTTACAATGACAGCTCTCTGAAAGATATTGTATCACAGCAGAAATAACCTTCCACTTCCCCAAAGCAGGAATCAGGATAAGAATGCTGAGGGACCCCCTCCAAGCCCCCAGAAACATTACAGAACACTTTCCAAATCTACTGCACACTCCATTCAGTAGAGCCTTATTTCACTCTCCATCAACAAAAAAACCCAAAAAGCAAACCACGCTCCTGTGAAGTTCTGCCCCAGGACAGGATTTGCCTAGCACTTCTGAAGTTAGGGCTGTGCATGTGTGAGCAACGCCTTCAGAGGGCAGATCAAGTAGAACAGGCTTGAGCCTGGCATCCAGACCAACCAGCCCCAAACTCTGTGGCCTAGGACCAACCTCAGCCAGTCTGACCTTGCTCATTGAATAAACTTAAGTGTTAACTAGAATTAGACAAAAGAAATATCTGAATTCCAATAGTTAACAATGCTTAGTACAAGAATTAAGTGCTTAATTACCAGCATTGTTTCCATGATATACATATACTGGTGTTAAGAGCCAACAAGAGGAGCTGTATTTTTAATGTTTTTAAACTGGTTAGAAGAGCACCACATTACACAGTATATGCCACGTTGTGAATTCAGGGTTTTTTTATTAAAGATTAAAAAAAAAAACCACTTGACACCCTAATATACATAAAGTCACAATAAATTCAAATGTGCTAAAAGCAAAATGTGCATAAAAACACTCATTTCTAAAAGGCACCCTGTCACCAACATCTTTTAAAATGTCTATTTCCACCAAGTTTCTAGTTTTCTCTCCCTTTGCTAAAGGTGAGACTTTAGGCTGCTATCAGGTACAGACACCTTTCAGGGGTCTGTGCTATCACTAGAATGCTTAAAACCGTGCATGCAGACTTAGCTCCAGCTTCTCCCAGAATTAACTATCATGATTTAAAATGCACAAGGGTTTTTGCTCAAAAGGTAGTGGCGTTTGGGCCGCTTCTAAGGGCCAAGAAGAAACAGAGTTATAAAATAACTGCTGTGTCTCCACCAGAGAGCTCTGCTACTACAAACCACTTCCCTCCTCCCCCCCCCCATCCTCTCGTAAAAACAACCCCAAAAGTTACAAAATGCCACACACAGGGGATGAAATGTTAACGCGTTCCCGATTAGGCTGTCAGGGTGCGACAGCATCAGTGCTGAGTCCGCAGTGACAGCGCTGCCAGCCGCGCACACACTCACACGGACACTCACACACACAGACACTCACACACACACGGACACTCACACGGGCAGGCACACGGACAGACACACAAACACTCACACGGAACACGCGGCCGTGCGGGCACGCTGCCCACCCCACAGGCAGGTCGGCGCTGACTCCTCTCCGTGTTACCAGGGTCTCCACATGGATTTGGGCGAGCCGGGCGAGGGCAGGCCCCGCGTCTGGGACGCGTGCAGTCCGTCCGTGTCGGTGCGGCCCGGCCCGGCCCCCGCCGAGCCCGAGCCGGAGCGGGTCTGCGGGCCGGGGGCGGGCAGCGCCGGGCCCGGGCGGGCTGCGGCCGGCGGCACCGGCACTTCGCCGGCGGGCCAGGGCCCGAGCGCCGGCTCCGCCGCAAGGTCCGTGAGCGAGTCCGGGCAGCCGCCCTCGCTGAGGGGCATGGACTCCAGCAGGTGGTTGAGCAGCTCGGCCGCCGTGGTGGCGTCGATGCCGGGGCAGCTGGAGACGAAGGTGTGCACCTCGTGCATGCACTGGATGTAGCCGGCGGCGAAGCGCTCGCTGGCCTCCAGGAGCCGCCGCCCGGGCCCTGCGCCGCGGGGCACAGCGAGGGGCGCGGGTGAGGCGCGGGCCGGGCCCGCCGCCCCCCGTCGCCCCCCGGGCCGGCACTCACCGCGGGCGCGGCGCTCCAGCGCGGCCCGCACCCGCCGCACCGTCCGCTCCAGCACCTCCGCGTTCTCCAGCTTCGCCTGAAACTGACCCGGGGCGCCGCGGCCGTCAGCGCGGCCCCGGCCCCCGCCGGCCCCCGCCCCACCGCGCCGCCGCCTCACCTCGCTGTCGGCCAGCAGCAGCCGCAGCTCCCGCAGGCTCTCGTTGATGCGCGCCCGGCGCTTCTTCTCCACCAGCGGCTTCCTCGTCTGCGGGGACAACAGCGCCGTCAGCCCGCCCCCCGCCGCCCCTCCGGGCCCGGCCCCGCCCGCCGCTCACCCTCCGGTCGCCGCGGGGCCCCGCGCAGCCCTCGCCGTGCGGCGGGCGGTCCGTGCCCGGCGCCATGGCCGCTCCGCTCCCTGCGCGCCGCTCCCGCCCCGCGCCGCCGCTTTTATACCCCGCGATTTGCATGTCAATGAGCCCATTGGCCGCGCCGCGCGGGCAGCGCCGAGCGTTGGCCGAACGGGCCAATGGCGGCCGCGCGCTTTGTCTGCGGCGGGGCGGGGCGGGGCGGGGCGGGCGGAGCGGCCCCGGCGCTGGGCCCGGCCCCGGAGCGGGCGCGGGCCGTGCCGAGCCGGGCCGAGCCGTGCTGAGCCGTGCCGGGCCGAGCCGGGCCGTGCCCTGCCGAGCCGTGCCGGGCCGTGCCGAGCCGGGCCGAGCCGTGCCGAGCCGGGCCGTGCCCCTGCCGGCAGCGTGCGGCTCCGCGGGCCGGCTGGACCCCAGTGAAGCCCAAAGGCAGCGGCCGTTCCGGGCTCAGGGCCGCGGAATGCCCGTGTGTGCTCGTGGAACGGAGGGCACAGCGGGGCCGGCTAGCTGCCGGCGAGGCATCAGCACCGACCTGGGCGTGCCAGAGTCGGTCTGAGCCGTGAGCGGGAAGCCGTGGGGCTAAGCAGGCACAGCTGGCCCCAGAGCCGGTCTTGTCCCGCCCGTGCCAGCGGATGGGGCGGATCTCGGGCCGAGGCGCGGTGCCGGCCCGGCAGGACGCGCTCCTTGCGGCCGTGGCTGTGCGGGGCTCCGCGGCTGCTCGGCGGTGCAGCGCATCCCCAGCCCCGGGGCTGCTCCCAGCCCGGTGGCCACGGGCAGTGGGCCCGGAGAGCTCGGTGCCGCCCCGGCTGAAAGAGCCGCGCAGCTTTGTGCGGTAACTTGACGCTGATGACAGTTGGCAGCTGCAGTTCCCCGGCAGACCGAGGCAAATAAAGGCATTAGGGCTCGTCCCCGAGGAGAGCGACAGGTGTTCGCTCCCGCTCCTTTGTTTCCCTGCTTTTATTCTCCTCGCTAATGCGTGTCATATTTTCGCCGCCCGAGGAAACGGGAGACGCGCTCCCCGCTCGCAGCGGCGCTGAGGGCGCGGAGCCGCCGCTCGCCTCCCTCTGTGTCCGGCACAGCTCCCTCCTGCTCCGGCTTCCTCCCGCTTTGTCTCGCCGCAGAAAGCCCTTTGCCTTTGGTGGTGCCGAAGCTTTCCTTGCGGAGAGGGCTGGGTGAGCTGGAGCCACGCCGGGATCGGTGCCGGGCGGGCCCAGCGGGTACCGGCACCTGCTCCGGGAAAGGCCCTTGCTGCCGGCAGTCGGCTGCTCCTTAACGCTGCTTTTCATTTCAAAGCGCCCTGTAAAGCTCCGTGCCTACGCTGTGCTAATCCACGTGTGACAGGAGAGCACGGAGAGGTTCGGCACTGCCTGCCCAAAGCCATCCCGGAATGCAGAAGGGTAACGCCAGGACGTGGGATATCCTGGCTGGAGACCTAAGCTTGGGCCACTCTTTATTTTGTATCACAGTGGACAGGAGGTGTTTCTGGTGTGTTTTGTCCTTTTATCTGAAAGCATCAGTGCTTGGGTTTTGTCAGAGTCTGTTCAGGTGGTGACAAGTTTCCCTGCACCAGACAGGAGCAGAGTGGGATGTACCAGGGGCTGGATGCCTAAATCTGTCCTTCTGCCTCTGATGCACTGAATTCTCTGCGTGACACAATGTGGCAAGAAGCTCATTCTTTTTGATTATATAACTAACGCTGGCTAAGCAGAAATATGATTTGGACCAGGCCAAGTACAGAACATTCTTGTATTGAAGTAGAGACACCTGTGACCATTCTGTGCCTGGCTGATGCATACTTAGCCTACCTAAGTGGCAGGGGAAAACCATGATTAGCATGCATGCAAACTGCAGCAAAGTAATGGGTGTCACAATTTTGAAGAACCGTCTTTGTTCTGAACCAAAACTAGGCACCTAAGGTCATCAGAGGTGTATAAAAACACACAAATACACACAAACATTTGGTAAATGTGCTGGAACACACAATGTATATAATTGTTGGTAAAATATGAATTCCAAGCGTTTGTGAGCTTGTTTTCTCTTCAGAGAAAGTTCAGCTTTTCCTAGAATGGGGGTGGGGGGAAGTGGGTGGGCCTGGTTGCTGGTGGGGGTAAAAGCACACCAAACAAATATTCATGTATTCCCTGCTCAAACAGTGGGGTTAACACTGGTGTAAATCGTGTGCAGTCCCCAAACCTGCCAGGCCTCTTCACTGCAGGTGTTTGTACCAGCTGTGTTTCGCAGCTAACTTGGCTTTGAGGCACTGCTTTGTTAACTTAGAGAAGTGAAGGAGCTCCCGAGTTCACCCCAGTCGAGGTTCAGGTGTGTCAGATGAAACTCTGGTGGCTGCTGAACAGCAGTGATCTCTCACAAGCCTCCATCTGAGTTTTTGAGCAGTGAGGAGCTGGAGGCACAAGGTGAGCACTTCTGGATGCACGAGGAGACTTCAGCAGCAAATCTTGGCTAAGAACGGCCAGAAAGAGTTGGCCATGGCTGTACCATCCTGTTTCTGCTCTGACTGGGCAGGTGCTGATGGCAAGGCATTGTACATATTGCTGGCTCTTGTTCTGCAGCATGTCTTTTTGTATTTTCTCTGAAAAGCTGCAGGTCAAATGAGTTGACAAATGCTGGAGCTGTTTGTGCAGGGCATTAAAAATGTATGTGCCATAAATATCAGGGCATCACTAGAGCTGCTATTCTGGAGGAGGAAGTCACTGCAGGCTATCTCCTCTAGCCCACAGGGACAATGGGACATTTTTGTGCTACTTTAAACAAGTTCCATCACATCAGGTGAAGCGAATCATGGTAATCTCATGCATTTTAATAGAAATGTCAACTGCTATCTAGTAAAAGAGAACATTGCTTAGATGCTTTGTCCAATACCTCGGTGTTTGTCTGTGCGTGGTAGTTCCTGAAGATTTCACTAAACCCATCAACTCATCTGCATTTTATCCAGGTTAAGCCCATCCTGCTCTCTGCTGAGGGGATGTGTACAGGCACTGCTTCCTCCTGCATGAAGGGTGGGAGTTTAACCTTTGCTAGAGCAGGGAGCTCTGTTCTGCCAGAGACAGGCTCCTACACAAGCTATAAATGGCAGTTTAGCCAAGGAGCAGCATCGTTTTAGCAGAGATAATGGGCCTTGCTGCACGTGTTCTCCTGCAAGCCTGTGTGTAGAGTAGTATAACACACTACAAAACAGGCTTTAATTCTTTCTAGGAGGTGCTTGAGCACTAATGCAGCTGTGGTGACAGTGGCAAGGGCAATTGTGGGAGGCCATCCTGCAGCCTCAGCTATGTGCCATGTGTTTTGGACACCCAGGTAAGTGCCAGATCCTCATATCTGACACGCCATGGCCTCACACACTTCTGTTTCAGTTGGCAGGTGCATTTGGAAGGTCTCTGGCTCCCAGAAGAGCATTCACAAAGACATAATGAAGCTCAAAGCATTTTTGAGTACTCTACAGGCAGCTGCCATGCATGCTCTTGGGCTGGAGTCAGGAGGTGACCCAGGCTCTGCGTGGATAATACAATCAGGGCACGGGATAAAGACATGATGAGCATGCGCAAGGTCCATTGGAAATGCTTGAGTAGTTTCTTTCATAAATGGTGTAACATCTGTTGTCACTGGAGGCACAAGTTCCTGTCAAAAAGACACGTCATCCTTATAAATATTAATGGTGCATATAAATGGTGGTGGGTGTGAACTGTGGATGTGAGGTTAATGGGTGAGCTGCTTCTTAGGCATCAGTTGGCTGCCATCAGACTTATTTCTGCACTGACAAATACAAACTGTTTAGCTGGCAGAGCAAGCAAAAAGCTTTCTTCCCCCTCCTTTCCCTGGGGTCCAGTCACAAATGAAATGTGTACTGTAATTAGTCTCTTGCCTTGTCACTGATGAAGATTAGTCCTGCTTGCAGAGCCGAGGAGCAGAGGAGTGAGGCTGGAGCTGGAAGAGCTGAGGCTGGAGGTGATAAATGGAGCGAATGAGGAAGGCTGTTGGGAGAAGGCTGCGGCATTCCCCATCAGCTGGATCCTAGCTGCCCTCAGTGCCATCGATTTCTCTGCTGTTAATAGCTGATGTTTAAGGGGAAAATAGGGTTGAATATCACCACTGAGCTGCTCTTGGACTCCAGTCTGTTTGTTACTGCAAATTGTGTTTGCTGCCTTGAGCATTGAGTTCCTGCTGCCCTTTTCAAAAACCATAAGGCTTTTCCTATCCTTATTTATTTATCAGCAGACTTGGCAGCAGTGCTAGTGTTCATCAGCTGGGGCACAGAGGAACAGTTCATGCCAGCCAAAACACTAATGAGTAGCATTCAAAAGGGTCTTATGTCCATTCACAGAGGAGCCCCTCGACTGCATTTGTTCCTGTGGAAGCTGGGGGTCCTTTTGCCTGAGAAGATGGGCCCAGCCTTCTGTCAAAGGTACTTTGACTTTTTGCCATTTCAGAAGTGGTGATTTCCAAATGGAAGCAATGGTGAGGGGCTGTGCTCAGCAAGCAGAGAGGAGAGCAGAGCCTCTCCTGATGGTGAGGGATGGATGGGTGTTGTGCACGGGGGCACTGCCCCAGCAAAACCCTCACTGCCATGTTGTTACCTTGCCACCCTGCTGGCCTCCTGCAAAGAGAAGCCTGAACTCATACAGCTTTGCAAACTGCTTCAGCTCCTGCCATTTAGCTGTGGTCTGTCCTCAGTGACTGTGGCAGGATCCTGTGCCCTTGAGGTTACAGAGAGCATGGCCTGGGCACATTGTGTTTGGGGAAGGTATTTCAGGGGGGTGAGAATAATTGTCTGAAGCAAGTACAGAGGGTTTTTTTCAGTTGGATAAAAAACTCCAGAGGCTGCCTGTGGTGCTTCAGGGAGCAGTAACATTGTGTTTCCAGGGAAGCCTCTTGTATTTGATGTCTCTAATATTTTTGGTAACTGTCTTCATCATAGGCTTTATGCTATGTTTGTAACAAGGCTGCGCGTATCACAGTCCTCCTCTGCAAGATATTTATATTAGTTCCTAAATGCCTTACAGGCATCCTCATTAAAGTACATTTGCTTCAGAGAAGGTGCTGAAGCCCTTAAACACAATCCTGAGGAGGGCTGAAAGCTTTGAAAGTGTGTGCCCTTCAGAGAGTATTTTCTCTGACATGCCATGCGTGCCCAGGGTAA